CCCCCCCCCCCCATTTCTCATGCCTTGATTCATTTTTAACCCTCCCTCAAAATGTGCCCCCGTGCTAGTCCAGGTTTGAGAGCTGGTTGTTAGGATAATCACTGATAATAGGGCATGCACGCTCTTTAGATGCCCAGCAGTGCGTTTCATTATGATTAAAGTTCTTAAATCAGCGGCGAGACAACCGAAGCGCGCTCAGCCTTCCCCTCCATCCTCTGCCCCACGGGGTTTTGCGGTTGCACTTCGGGTGTGTTTCCTGCACCGGGGGCCGGATAGTGCCATGCCATCCCAGTGATCCTCAGGGGAGGCTTTTAGGGAGCAAAACGTTGCAGGACCGAAGGGGGGCGCTTCTTGTGCGAGAGGGACGTCCGTATTTGGAGGGGGTTTTTATACCCGTGTGTCAATATGTATTTAAAGGTCTTTAAAAAATTTTTCTGAACTTTGCCCCTCAAGCAGTTTCCTGGCTTCCTTGCGTAAACAGTGTGTGTAACTCCTGGTGAAACGTGGATCCTTTCCCTGAGCGAGGTAAATGCCTCTGCAGACAAGCTTCCAGGGAAAATTATATAGGTGGGCGTAGGAAACCTGAACTGCATCAGTTAAGCCTTCATGTGTCCAATAGATGCCCTTCAGAATTGCAGGGTTCAGCTGCTCGCTTGTCTGCTCCCTTTCATGATCCTGAAAAATACAGCGCGATAGGCGTATAACTCTGATTGCATTACTTACGTGCCGTGCACCACTACAACCCCCCCCCCCAATTTAATCGGTCATTTGGAATATTTTTGTGCGTCCTTATGACTTTGGGGACCATTTTCCGAGAAACTTTCCTTTTAAGAAAAGGCCAGCAGTGCGCTGGAGTTTTAAAACCCCTGAAAAGTGGGTTGGGTGATGGAAAGACTGCTGAGCCATAACTACAGAGCAGCTGTCGCGGAGCCGGCTGGGCTCGGACCCGGATGCGTTCCCAGCAGCGTTTGCAGGAGTGACGGAGCACGCGCCTCGTCACGCCGGTTCCTCCTCTTAGCTACTTCCCTGCGAATCCAGGCCAAACCCGCTGGCTTTTAGCAGAGTTGCTTGGGATTTGCACTGGTGCACGAGAGATCAGGATCTGGCCTCGTGATGCCCACGCGTGGGCCCAGCGCTGTGCTGCGGTGGAGCTGGGATGTCGCGTGTGCATCGCGGCCGCCCGTCGGCGAGCCAGCCCTCGAGCAGAGCAATGGGTGTTAGTCCTGAGCTGCACAGCGCGTGCTTGTGTTCACTTATTGATAAATCAGTTGGAGGGAGTTTTTGGGGGGGGGCTGTGCGCGCTGGAGGAGACGCACGCCACGCCATGCCACGCGGGGAGATGTGGCTGTCTGTTTAGACACTTGCTTCGGCTGGGGCCGGCCGGCGTAGGCGCTCACCGGGGAAGATAATGACGTTTATGGAGCGGCGGAGGTGTTTCTTGGACAGCGCGCGCTGCGGGCTCTGACAAGTACATTTCATGGGGCTCTTTAAATAAATGTACCCTCATTAGCAGGAGTGGAAATAAATGTTATGTCCCCGTGTGCGATGCACGCCTGTAATCCCCCTTGGAAAAAAAAAAAAAAAGATTCCCTGCTTCGCTCGCCGCTCTCTAATAAAACCTGCCCTGATGGCTCCCCGCAGACAGTCACCATGGCATCCCCTTCTGCGCAGGCAAAGCCCGGGCCGCAGCTCTCCGCGCCGCCCTGCCCTGCCCGCCGCTGGCTCGGGGTGCCCCTGGGCGCTGCCCGGCACCCACGCTCGGGGACCGCACGCGGCGGTTTGCTTTGGCGCGGTAAACCCTTAGCAGCAAACCGCGTTTTCCTTGCATTGTTGGGGAGAAATGGCCAAGCGGTCGAAGCACCCGAGTCCAGGCAGCGGTTCCCCTCTCCTCCTCGGCTCTGTGACTGCCTCTGGTTTCGGCGAGCCGTGCCTCTCCGGCCTCAGTTTCCCCATTTGTGCGGAGACCTCCCGAAGTGGCCGACCGTCCCAAGGGAACCGCTTATTTGGTAGCGTTTGGAGAGCTCTGCTCGCCTCCGACAAGTCCCTTCTAAAGCGGCCGTGGTCGTTGACTTATGCTCTTTTATTTTACCAGGACATTAAAAAACGATCCGAGCGTCACGTTGATCGCCATTCGCCCCGGCCTCCGCTTCCCCTGCTGCCGTTGCAACTGCGAGTCGCGGCAGGAAGTGAGCTGCTTGCTCCAGTTGCAGATTTTCACGAGTGTCTCTAAAGCACGGGGGGGGTGTTGTTTTTTTTGCCCAAGTCTTTGAAACAAACATCTTGAAGTTTCTCTCCGGAGCGCCGGCTGCGTCGGTGGCTGTCTCGGCGCTAAGCGTAATGATGATGAGAGTTGTAATTTTTGGCTTGTTTTCCAAAGAGAAACAAAAGGGCAGGTCACCCGCCGGAGCAGGATCTCCCCTCGGTGGGCTTGTGCACGGCTGTGCGTGTGTTAGGACCTGCAATACGTGTGCGTGCACGTGTGCCCGTGTGCGTGTCCCTCCTTTTCTAATTAGTCCCTAGCAGAACAATGGGGATCGGTGGGGTGGGGCGGGGGGACGTGCTGCCGAACGAGCCGCGCTGTTGTAGTGCCCCCCACCCCCCTCCGCGGAGGTAAAACTCGGGGTCAAGATAAAAAATGACGCCGCGTTGTTCATAACCCTCCGTGACGGTGCCAGATTTGAGCGCTTAAAACTGCTTATGAAATAATCAG